ATGAGATTATGCAAAAATCATACCAGGCCAGTTAAGACAATAAGCAAAATGTCTCTTAAGGATTTCTCCATGTATAGTATCTAGTCACATACTGCAATAAGAATCAAAGCTCACAACATTTAAATCTAAAAAATAATCAAATTTCTCAGATTAATCATTCCATGCCATCATATATTTTCATCTTTGCTTTAATCTATGAATGGGCTATAAACACAATATCCTTATTCAAGCAATCATCACACCCACGACTAAAAATTTTGAAGGATGTTAATGGAGTTGTTTCAACATTTGAATCACATACCCAAACCAAAAATTTTATGGACAAAACAGAGGCATTCTTTGTTTTAATCACATGCCCAATGCTCCGTATTGGTGTATTTAGAAACTAATTAAAATTCTTATATAGAAGGGCTGTATGCAATCTCATAGTCAGGAACAAAAGGAACAAAAATTAGCTTTAAACCTGTTACAGAGAGTAGTTGTGGGTATCTTCAATCGGTTCTTCTTCCAAGCTCTGGGTCCTCTCTAGAAATTCCTCAATCTACTCTAGAAATCCTCAATCCTTTGGTCAGAGTTCTCTTTTTTTTTAGAAAAATCCCGTCTGATCTTAGTCTATTCTTCCCCTTAGTCTCTCTGTTTCTTTTAGGAAAAACTTCCGTCTCTCGATCTCTTCTCCCTTGGTCTCAATTCTCTCTTTTTTCAGAACTTTTTTTTTTCTAATCTCAGTCTCTTCTGTCTCCCCTCTCTATCTCCTTCTCTGGCTTTTATAGAGAATCGAAAGGAAGGGCAATTACTCATTGATTTTTGCTTCTTCCTTTTTTCCTTCTCTTCCACTACATTTTTTATGTGTACACAGAAAGCTCTCTCGTCTCTAGCTTGTTCCGTCTCTTCTCTGCCTCTGTGACTCTAGTTTCATGTGTTCTCTTCTCCTTCTCTAGCTCTCTCGTCTCCATCTCTCTTTCTTCATCTCTCTTTCTAGTTTTTAACGTCTGTCTCTGTTTCTCTTACGTGCTTTCTTTTTGCTGTGTGGCTGAATGCTTTTTCTGCGTGTGTGTCCTCTATTTCTGTGTTTTCTATGCTTTTCCTCTGATTTTATTGCCGTGAAAGGCAATTTAGGGGTGGGTGATTCATCATTTTACCCGCCCTTTTTATTATTTATTTTTTTGTTAATTAAATTAAGAGAGAGAGAAAGAGGGATCTGATTTTAAAATATATTTATTATTATTAATTTTTTTATGAAAAACAATAAGATTTTAAAAGTTAACTCCCAGCTGTTGATTCCCAATATTTTTTTTGAATGGTTGAGATAATTTGGGAGAGATTTTTTCAAGACTTAAGCTTGATTTTTTTTGAAAATATAATCCTAAAAAGGATTAAATTTTATTTTTGTATTTTTATATTTTTTGATTATTTTAATGAACTAAAAGAAATAAAGTCTTAACCAACAAAATTACACCCTATCAATTAAATTAATTTTTTTTGTTTTGAAAATATAATCCTAAAAGGATTAAATTTTATTTTTTATTTTTATATATTTTTAGTTATTTATTATTATTTTTATTAAATTTTTTAAAAAAATGCTTGGACAAAATACAGTGACATGTAAAGTTGCCCCTCTTTACTTGTTTCTTATGTAAGTATGTGAAAATGTGTGTTTTATAGTTCTTACATAAGTGACATATAAAGATAGAATAGGTATTTTGGTCGGCCATGCATTACCTATAAAAAGACCTAATTGCCCCTGACATAACAAGATATGATTAAATGCAAGACTATTGCATAACAAACACAATGACATGTTTTTTTTTTGTTTTAGCAATGTGATGCAAATGGAAATAATAAAATAAAAGAAAAATGTTGTCAATAAATGACAAACGATCTGAACAAAATATATGTTGACTAGATACCTCTTCATTTGATTTCTAAGTGAGAATTCCAGGAGATGATATTCTTATCTTAGCAATGAATAAAGAAAGAAACATGTATTTTGTTTGGAGGGGCGAGACTCTTATGCAACTAAAAAAGCTTAGATTAGAAGATTTTATTTTGGAACAAAACAAAACCTCAATAGATGAATTGCCTAGGTTCCAAAGGACCTAGTGGATGTTTACTTTTACAAGGCTTTAAAGAATTATGCTAGCTGGTATTGGGCTTTGAGGGTGCCTGCCATTATAGGGCTTTAAAGAATTGTACCAGCAGATATTAGGCTTTAAGAGTGCCTGCCGTTATAGGGCTTTAAGGGTGCTTGCTGTTATAGGGCTTTAAAGAATTGTGCCAGTCGGTAGTGGGCTTTGAGGGTGCCTACCATTACAAGGCTTTAAAGAATTGTGCTAGGTAGTACTAGGCTTTAAGGGTGCCTACCATTACAGGGCTTTAAAGAATCATGCTAGCTAGTATTAGGCTTTAAGGGTGCCTGCCGTTACAGGGCTTTAAAGAATTATGCTAGTCGGTACTGGGCTTTGAAGGTGCTTGCCATTACAGGGCTTTAAGGGTACTTACCATTACAGGGCTTTAAAGAATCATGCCAGCCGGTACTGGGCTTTGAGGGTGCCTACCATTACAGGGCTTTAAAGAATTATGCTAGCCAGTACTGGGATTTGAGGGTACCTGCTGTTACAGGGCTTTAAAGAATTGTGCTAGTCGGTACTGGGCTTTGAGGGGTGTGAGAATAGGTTTCATCTCACATGGAAAATATGAAAAGCTTGTGAAATTTGTCATTTCTTTCCTTACTTCCTCAGGTTTTTGTTTTTAATATTATTTTTGCTTTGCCTCAATCCAAATGAGGCTTATTTCTATGACAAAGAATGCAATGCAGGAATGTGCAATGTATGATTTTTTTCATTTTTCTATTTGCCCTTAATTAAAATGGGTGCTAAAGATATGTACAATATATCATGGATGGATGATTTGCAATGCAAAAAGTTTGAACCTTTGTTTATCTCAATTTATGAGACTTCTTTTTTTTTGGTGATAAATGCAAAGGGTAAGACGTGCTTATTTTCCCTAATGCAAATGTATGGATAATGCAAATGTGTTGCAAAAATTTTTATTGAAAAGTTTGATGTTGAAAACTATTTTAATATATATTCCTTTTTTTTTGAAAATTTTCGTGCATATCGAATAAATCATTTTGAACACAAGGTAATACCTCTAAGTCAATTATTAAACCTTTATTCATTAATAGGTGTAGTATCACAGTATGCCATTGCTCCTCTTTAGAAAATTCAAACAACCAAATTCTTATCACTTGATCTTGCTTTTAAGCTAATGTGGTCAAATTTTATGATCGAATACTGATAGCACACATGCCCTCGTTGTCACTTTACACCTACTTGATGATCTTGATACCTCAAAGGCAAAAAGTAAGAATAAAGATACCAACATTCTACGTCAAGCAAATGTATCAATAAATATTGTTCCTTAAATGTGAACTTACTATAATATATGATATGAATTCGAATATGATAACACAAAAAGAGAAGAAAGATGATCTTAAAGGAAAAAGGGTGGAAAAATTCATGCTCTAATGCAAAAGTTCATAGAGAAATGAGAATATCTAGGTTTGTGAGTACAAATGGCTTGAGCGCAAATGGGATGTGTGAATCCACTTAATCACATCTCCCTCCTGTAGCTTTTTAAAACCCAACAAGTTCTTCCCAATGAGTTATTCTTTCTCTTTCATTTTCTATTAGCTCTAACTTTTGCCTAGGTTGCCCTTACAGGCTTTCAACCTAGTGAGTGCTTCTTTCTTTTTCATTTTCAGTTTAAGCAAAGTAATGCTTGACAGCATCTGCATTAATGGGCTTTGCTAACTCTTGACCGTCTATGTCAGTTAGGATTAGCGCTCCTCCAGAAAAGGCATGTTTGACAACATAAGGTCCCTCACAAGTTAGAGTCCATTTTCATCTATTATCTTCTTAGTTAGGCAATATTTTCTTGAGTACAAGATCACCAGCACTGAATTCCTGTGGGTGAAGTTTTTTGTCAAAAGCTCTTGCCATTCTCTTTTGGTATAGTTGTCTATGACATATTGCAGTAAGCCTTTTCTCTTCAATCATGTTGAGTTGCTCAAATCGAGTTTGTATCCATTCATTTTCTTCTAAATCTACCTTAGCCAATACTCTCAAGGATGGAATTTTTATCTTAATGAGTGTGACAGCTTCCATTCCGTAAACAAGGGAGTATGGGGTTACCCCTATAGATGTGCGTACAATAGTATGATAACCATATAAAGCATAGGGAAGTATCTCATGCCAATCCTTATAAGTTACTATCATTTTCCCAATAATCTTTTTAATATTTTTATTGGCTTCTTTAATCGCTCCATTCATTTGAGGTTTATATGGGATTGAATTACGATGCTTAATTTGAAACTTCTCGCAAAAGTTTTTGACATCCGTTCCATTGAGATTGGGACCATTATCTGTAACAATCCTTTTAGGGATCCCATATCAGCACAAAATATTTGTCTTCATAAATTTAAGGAACATTTTTTGCATGATGCTAGCAAATGAATTTACCTCTACCATTTAGTGAAATAGTCAATCGCGATAAGGATGAAGCGATGTCCATTTGAAGCTTTTCGATTAATTGGGCCAATAAAGTCAATTCCCATATTGAGAATGGCCAAGGTGATACAAACTATGCAATGGAATTGAAGGATCATTTATCTTGTTAGCATAGATATGACATTTGTGGCATTTCTTGACATGCTCAAAGCAATTTTTCTCTATTGTTAACCAAAAGTAGCCACATCTTTGAATCTATTTGGCCATAGTGTGACCATTCACATATGTACTACATATGCCTTCATGTACCTCAACCATGATTTTCTTTGCTTCTTCTGAACTCACATAGTGAAGTAAGGTACCATCATAACCCCTCTTGTACAGAACATCTTTGCTTATAAAGAATGTCATAGCCAAACGACGAAGGGTTTTCTTTTCATTCTCAGTCATTTCAATTAGGTATGATCTCTTAGTGATATAGTCCTTAATATCCTAGAACCAAGGATGTTCTTCTTGATCTTGTTCAACATTCAGACAATATGCTGGAAAGCTTCTAACTTCTACTCGAATGGGTTGGACATGGACTCCATAATCAAGTTGAATCATTTCTATTAAAGTGGCCAAAGCATTAGCAAAATGATTTTTATTTTGAGTCAAGTGATGAAAGCTAACAACCTCAAATTGCTTAATCAAATCTGTTAAGAGTTCTTGATAGGGAATCAATTTTACATCCTTTATTCTCCATTCTCTCGTTACTTGATGAATAATGAGAATTGAATCACCAAACACCTTCAAACATCGTATGCCAAGGGTAGTAACTGCTCGAAGACCATTAACACAAGCTTCATATTCTACTATGTTATTAGTGCAATCAAATTCTAATTTAATGGCCACTGGAAATTGTTTCCCCTCTAGTGAAACAATCACCGCTCCTACCCCATTTCCATGCATGTTGGCGGCTCCATCAAAATACATTTCCCATTCTTGCTTTTCATCATTTCCTTCATCACAATCTTCTTCTGCAGTGCATATGCCTTCATCAGGAAATTTAAAATCTAATAATTGGTCATCCCTTAAAGGATTATTGGCGAAGTGATCCACTATCGCACTACCTTTGACTGATTTTTGCATCACATGCTTTATATCATATTTAGATAGTACAACTTGTCATTTTAGTACTCTACCTGCAATGTGCGGGCTCTCAAAATGTACTTGAGTGGGTCCACTCATGAGATTAGCCAGGTAGTGTAGTAAAGCATGTATTGCCTTAGCCTTCTAGTTGCCCATACTAGTCCACAATAAGTTCGCTCAATCATCAGATAACGAACTTCACAATCATTAAATTTCTTGTTCAAGAAGTAAATTACTCTTTCTTTCTTTCTAGAATCATCACGTTGACCTAGCATTGCTCTCATTGGGCGAGGTAAAGTTGCCAAGTAGAGGATTAAGGGATGTTCTGGAGACGGAGGAACCAAAATTGAGGGATTTAATAAATAATCTTTGATTTTATCAAAGCCCTCTTGACAATTATCATCCCATGTCTCCTTACAATTTTTGTTTAAAAGCTTAAACATCAGTTCACAAGTAGTTGTTAGATTGGCAATGAATCTAGCAATGTAATTCAATCGTCCCAAGAAACTTTGAATTTCTTTCTCTGTTTAGGAAGGTGGCATTTCTTGAATTGCTCTCACTTTTTCTGGATCTATTTCTATCCTTTTACAACTTATAATGAACCCCAATAACTTCCCATAAAGAGCTCCAAAGATGCATTTATTAGGATTCAATCTTAGCCGGTATTCGCACAATCTCGTAAATAGCTTTCTAAGGACTTCAACATGACTCTCATTCTCTACTGATTTAGCTACCATATCATCTACATATACTTCAATTTCTTTATGCATCATGTCATGAAATAGTGCTACCATAGCTCATTGGTAAGTTGCCCCAGCATTTTTCAAACCAAAATGCATCACCCGATAATAATAAGTTTCCCATTAGGTTGTAAAGGTTGTTTTCTCTTTATCTCCCTCATGCATAGGGATTTGATTGTACCTTGAATAACCATCCATAAAGGAATAGCAGTAGCTTCGAGTAGTATTATCAACCAATACATTAACATGGGGTTGTGGAAAATCATCTTTTGGGCTCGCATTATTTAAATTACAATAATCAACACACATTTGAATCTGAGTATCTTTTTTAGGAATGAGAACAATATTGGCCACCCATTGTAGGTAGGTTACTACCTCTAAGAATCCTGCTTCTAGCTACTTCATTACTTCTTCTTTTATTTGTAAGCACACCCTTGTATTCATTCTTCTTAACTTTTGTTTCTTAGGCTTAACCTTAGGAAGCAATGGTATTTTATCAGAAGCAATGGTTGAGTCTAACCTAAGCATATATTTATAGGACCATACAAACACATCTATGTATTTTTGAGCAACTCAATCATTTCTTCCCTTTCAGGATTATCTACTATTTTGAGCATTTTTTGATCCTCCTTAGTTTACAAATTAATTATCTCAATCACTTTTTCATATGGGCATATTCCCTTATCACGTAATTTAAGCATCTTAGAAAAAGTTTGGATTACATCTTTATCATTAGACTCACAATCATGCATATCGGTAGCAATAAGTGAATCATCTTCACAGGGTTTATTAACCTCTGGATGGAAGATGGAATCAGAAGAAACAAGATCCTTAGATGATAAAAAATGAATATAAAATGAAATAAAAATAAGGAAAAGAAAGGAAAGGGGAAAAAATAAACTAAAGTAGATAGGGTGGAATAAGGAGATGGACTTGAATGTGACTGAAATTCATTTTCATAAATTATGTGCATCAAAAGTTTGTATTAGAGAATACCCAAGATCTATTACCTAAACCTAGGCTCAAAAAGTGGATAACAAAATAGGAACAACATAATTGAAACAATTACTCTAAGCTAACAATATCATTGGCCTCTTCAAACTCCCAATTCACCAGGACTTTGTTGGAATCATCGATTGCAATTGAGGCACTTGTTCCACATGCTACATCTTTGTTAGAAGAGATCATTGAGATAGTTGGTTTACATATCACCTCAGATGGGCCTGGGAAGGTTTCTTTGATGTGTGGAATCACCAATTTACTAGCTTTTTTACCTTTTGCCAAACTTGCTTTTTCCTTCATCTAATTTTCTAAGGTAGGCTCATTCCCTAACCTTTGGCGATTATAATTATCCAAAACCTTAATTAGACATGTAATTCCTTGTAGATAGGGGCCTAAACCTTTCCCTGGCATAAACCTACTCTTCGTCATGATTTTAGTAACAACGAAATTGATGTTATGAGTATTGTCACAAATACCCTCAACTTTCAGGCTTTGAAATGAAATTCCATGATCATTTTCTGTAGCCTCAATATAAGGGAGTGAGCATAGTTTGCTCACCATGATTTTCTCCTCTCCTTTAACTACTATAATTCCCCTATTACTAATGAACTTAACCTTTTGGTATAGGGTAGAAGGAACAGCCCCAGTAGAATAAATCCATGGTCTTCCTAGTAGCATTGTGTAGCTTGAATCTATGTTCATAAGTTGGAAATCCACTTTAAACATGCTTAGTCTTATCTCTAGAAAGAGACAAACAGATCCTAATACATCCTGTTATGATCCATCAAATGCTCTCACCATAATGTTGCTTTTATGTACACTTAAAGCTTCTAGTGACAATAAATTAAATGTGGAGAGCGGCAACACATTTATTGTTGATCCTCCATCAATCAATACTCTTACTATTATGAACCCTTCACATTTCAAAGTGATGTGCAAAGCTTTAGTTTGGTGGATAGTAGTTTCTATAACTTCTACTTCTGAAAAGGAAATGGTAGAGGAGGCTTTTACAAGATTCATTACATTTGCTACCTTCTCAAGGGTTATATTAAGCTGCATGAAGGCTTGATTCAAAACTTCTTGCAATGCTTTGTGGTGTGCTTCAGAATTCAAAATCAAAGAAAGTATTGAGATACATGCTGGATTTCTCTTCAATTGATCCACAATGCTATAATCACTTTGCTTCATAATCAACAGAAACTCATCTTTAAATTTTTCTATTTCTTTAGGATTATCTTCCTTTGGCCTATTAACATTCACATTTTTCTCTTTTACCATCTTCCTAATGTAAGATGGTAAGTATGGCTTTTTACTTCAAGTAACACCTCCTGGGTTTGCTATTTCATTGCTTGGTCCAGTAATCAACATTGAGTTTTTATGGTTCTCCACAATGCTTTGATATCTCCACGGGACTACTCAATCACTTTCATAGGGAAAGGGATAAGGTGTGCTTATGGTCAACATTAGTTGTCTAGCATGAGGTGCAAGATCTACAGAAGTTTTATTGATCATAAAAGAGACTATTTGGACTTGCTCTTTTGGGCTTGGATTTTTAATGAGAAGCTTGATACACCTTTTTCTCTACCATACAAACCTTTATATCTCCCTTCATTAGGGACATAACCCCTAGCACCATCATTTTTCTATTAATTTCTTTAAACTATTCGCAACTTTCTATATCATGGCCTTTGATCATCGACATTATCTATGAGGATTTCTTGCATATAGCCATACTCCTTTAAATAAGCATAAAGCTCATTTATAGGCATCTCAATCCTTGTAGAGCTTCTTAAAAATGTATCTTCTTCTTCAATAGTGTTGACTAACTTTTCATGGTTTGGAAGTAGATTAGTAGTAATGGTAGAGCTTCCTTCTTCTTTAAGTTGGATATGATTAGAATCAACTAGGTCTAGCACATTCCTTTTGAATGTCACGTAATCTTCTATTGAGTGTCTAGGTGCACTCATATGGTATCTACAAATAACATTTAGATTATACCATGCTGGGTAAGGTGGACTAAGAAGCTTATAAGGTTATGGACCTAATAATTGGGCTACCAGAAGTTTATGGTACAATTTAGTGTTTGTTAATCCAAAATTGGGCCATGGGCGATTATCCTTAGATTGGATATTTCTCCTCTCTCCATCCTACCCGTGCTTGTTAGGCTTGAACTCAAATTGTGGCTGTCTTTGATTCCTTTCTTCCATTTGATAACGAACTTAGGGACTGGCAGGAGCTTGTCTCACAGGTTGAATATAATTCACATTCCCTTCTTTAATTTTTTTTGGTCATAATTCTTTCGTGAACTACTTTCAGCTTGAGAAGTGGCTATTTTCCCCTTTAGTATGTCTGTGTCAATCCTTTCTCCAATTACCATTAAATCAGCAAAATCAGTGACATGTGTTCCTATCATGTATTGGTAAAATGGCTTAGGTAACACACGAATGAAGTACAAGCAAAGTTTGGAGTTCACATTACAGGTTACAGTTGTGAAGCCACTATTCTCCATCTTTGAGCATATTCTTTTAATGATTCTGATGATTTCTGGTTATTGTTTTCAATTGTTCTCTGGTTGGATCAGTATCAAGATTGAACTTATATTGTCTCATGATAGCATCTATAAGGTCATTCCATCTTCTAATCTTTATTTGGTCTAGTTGCATGTACCAAGTCAATGTAGCTCCAGTTAAGCTTTCGGGAAAGAAGTTTATCAAAAACTTATCATCTTGTGACCATATAGACATCTTCATGCAATAAGCCCTCAAATGATTAATTAGGTTACTTGTACCATCATATTTATCAAAGCTTGGCATCTTGAATTTCTTTAGAATATCAATTTATGGGGTTAAACATAATTCCTTCAAGTGTAAGGAAACCCACGTGTTTGATCATTGAAGAACCTTTAATTGATCATTCATTTCTCTGAGTTCTTCTTTCAACTCCTTCTCTTTATGCAACGCTTGTGGAATTTGGAACATGTAAGCATACTCTTCCCCAGGACCATCTGGTATGTTAAAGACCCCTATCCCAAAATCTTGTTTCTCTGGCATGGGTATTTTAGGATCTAATCCTCTGTTTGGCTCAATTATTCCATTAGCTGCTCTGTTATTCTCATTCATTACGGTATTCTGTGGTGGATTATCATCACTCTTCCCTTTTAGAGTCTTTGTTAATAGCTTTATCATGTCACTTATTTCTGCCATTTTGGATTCCACTGCAGACATCTAATCATTTAATGCCGTTGACTCATTTATGTTT